TCTTTGAGCCCCGACTAATCCCGGGGGTGCACAGGCCCTCGGCAAGGAGTTTCCCGCAAGTGCACCACGGTTAATTCAGGTTTTACCCAGTCCGATGGCCCTCAGAAATTGTTTGCACCCAGTGGGTTTCGAACTTGAGACCTTGAAAGGGAGCAAACCCCAAGGCTCAAGTCAATTGCCACCAGGCCAACCCCTGAGGGTCACATCTATAGAAATTAAATGACTTCAATTTTTTAATCTCCCATTATATGTGGCGATTTTCAATTCAGATTTGTCCTCTTGAATGTTTTGAGTATATACTGATTCTAAAAGGAGTTGATCTTCTTTTTACTTTTCTTAATGAAAAAATGGAGTTGATCTTTTCTCATAGTTTCTTAGTTCCTGGTACATCAACCATAAACAAAAATCAAACCTTACTTTAGATTGAATCCTCTTAGTTGTTATTTCATATTTCAAATTCAAATTCTTTTTCCAATCTTTCTCAGATTTTCCGCTTGGTCAATAATAGATTTCCAGATTGTGAAAAAAATGGCTCGTACGAAGCAGACAGCCTGTAAATCTACCGGTGGAAAGGCTCTAAGGAAACAACTTGCTATAAAGGCTGCTAGGAAATCAGCCCCTACCACTGGAAGAGTGAAGAAGCCACATCGTTACCTCCCTGGACTGTTGCTCTCCAAAAATATCAAAAGAGTACTGAGCTTCTCATTCGGAAGTTGTCTTTCCAAAGGTCTGTGAGATTGTTCAGGATTTTAAGACAGATCTGATATTCAGCTTGCAAGACGAATTCGCGGAGAACGAGCTTAAGCTTATCACAATGTTGATTAGTGATCAGTCTCTTCTTGGTTGCCCGTGTATGGTTTATGGTACCAAGCTAGTATCTTTTTGTTTGTGCCTGGAACCTAGATTGTTATATTAGAGACCTTATTGTGTTCTATAAATACTAGTACTAGGTTTGCTAATACAAGGACATTGATTAAAATGAATTGCTGTTTCTGAAAAAGAAAAGAAAAAAATCCTCTTAGTTTTCCTGAAACCGGAGTGAAGCTTGTTCAAACCTGGCACAATGTAGTGTAGATTAACTAGAAGAGATTTACTTGTTCAATCTGCTTGGTGTAAGTTGATTTAATCTGATCCAGGGCATCTTGCTTAACCTCCTACTTAACTCTTAACATAGTTAGTTACTCAAAGCATACCATTTTACTAGTCATACACCAAAGCTGACTGCTTTTTGTAGTCTATATAAGCACTAGAAAAATGATTCAATATGTCCCCCTAACTAACACAAGGGGAATGATATTTTTGTTAAGTATCATTTTCATAGAAGGCTTGTTATATCATTTAGCTTATCAACTGCTATTGAGTTCCTCTGTGAAGCTTTTAGTATTTGATCACTTTTTTTAAGTGTGAGAATTAATCATCTCTAGACATGGGGTTTCTATTGTGTTCTCTCTTTCTTTTCATTTCCTACTGCAAGCAACTTATACTAGTATTTGATCACTTTGTTTGTCTGCTTCTTAAGAGTGGGCTGCCCGTATTTCCCTTGACAGAAATTGGAGAGACTCTGTAGCCATTGAAGTGAAGAGAAGATGGCGAGAGTTGCAATTCGTTACCCTCGCAACAGTAATACCTTCATCTCATTCTTGGCTATTTCTCATGGCAACGCTAAGATTGCTCATTCTACTTTCGCAATTGGCCGCAGAGATTATTCTTCATCTCCTAGCAATACATCCATTTCGATAAAGGGTAGACTTGGGGTTTCTAGAAGTTTTGAGAACATCAAGTGTTTAGATGATGCTGTGAGTGTTCCGTCAAATGGTTAGACAGTAGCCTCTTCCCTCTCCTGTCAGGTTCTCGAAATTGTTGCATACTATAGTAAATATGAAGCATTACTCTGCTGTTGTTTCTCTTTGGAGAAATGTGGAAATTAGGTATTCCAACTGATAAATTCATCTTGAATATAGAAATTATCAGTTATTGCCTCATGCACCGTGCTGATTTAGGATTTTCTGTATTAGCTATTTTCTTCAAGACTGGCATTCCATTTGTTGTTGTTACCTTTACCACCCTAATAAGGGACTCTTTGCTGAAAATAATGTTAAAGATGCAGTTCACTTGCTCAAAAAGCTAGTGAGAGAGAATATGTGTGAGCCTAACGAAGTTATGTCAAAAGGGGCCATACTGAAAAAACTTTTAGTTTGCTCCGATTAATGGAACAAGGGAGCACTAAGCCCGACACATACATCTATAGCATTGTTATAGATGCCTTTTGCAAAGATAGAATGCTAGATGTTGCTATCAGCCTTTTGAAAGAGATGATACAAAAAGGTATTCCTCTAAACATTGTCACATATAGTTCATTTATTGATGGTTTGTGTAAGTCTGGTGAATGGGATGATGTTAGGATGTTGTTCTGTGAGATGGTTAATCTTAATATTTATCTAGATGTGTACACCTTCAAAATAGTGATCCATAGACAAATGATTGGAAAAGGTGTGGAGCCTACTGTGATCACCTACAACATGATAATAGATGGATATTGCTTGCTTGGTCAAGTGGATAAAGCGAGGAGAACTTTTAATTCCATGATAGATAATAACATTGAACCTGACATTATTAACTATAACATACTAATAAATGGATACTGTAAGAAAAAGAAACTGGACGAGGCTATGAAATTGTTTAGCGAAGTTTCTCAAAGGGGTTGAAACATGATAATTTCACCTATAATATTATCTTGCAAGGTCTGTTTGAAGCTGGAAGAATTGACACCGAACCTTGTTTAGTGGTTATTTTAAGAACTAGTTTTTGCGTTGCACGTGTATCACTGAAATGCGTATTTTGAGGTTGATTTAATAGTTCTCTATAGTGTTTATTCTCGAGTTACCAAAATACACCTTGAAATAATCCGTTAATTCACTGTATGCTAAGCCCCTACCATTAATTTGGCTAATTTGAAAGTTTTAAACTATTTATTATGACATAAGTTTATCATTTGGTCATGAGTTTTTCTAAAATTATTTTGCATATATAGTTGAAAATTTCTTCTAATATGTTAATTGTTTGCAGCCATAATGTGTAATTTTATATGATTTAGTTTGAAGGTTATTTTAATCTTTTTGCAACAATCTATATTCTATACTATATTAATATTAGAAAGTACATATAAGATTGACATACTCGTATTATGTTAATAATGTTTTAACATATTGGATTGGCATTTTATTAGTTAACTTTCCCCAAATGTGGCTCAATACGCAAAAGTAAAGTTAATACATATATTGTAATTGATCTAAATCACTCTTAAGAGGAATTTTCAAACCATTCAAAGTAATACCCCAAATCTTCAAATTGTTACTGTGCTACTTAGCTATAGTATATTTTGCAAAATATTTTTGTATTTTATCGATAAAAGATTCTTTATCCCCTAGCTCGAGGAGAGTTCATGCGTGAAATTTCTTTGTTGAATGGAGGTGAGTTCAAGGCTTCTTTAATCGAAAATGCATGCACTTTAAAATTCATTATTATCACCAACTCAAGAAATAATGCATCAATAAGCAGGCAAGCAAGATTTTGTAAAGATGGATGTCCATCCAATTGGACCGAGTAGTGATTGGCATTGATGCAAAGCCAATAAAAAATATTATCACAACATACTGTGAAAACAAAAGTTGCACCAAAATTACTTAACATCATCAAATTTATTCTTGTCCAAATTTAAGCAAGTTCTCTTGTAATTTTTTTTAAAAAACAAATGGAATATAAAATTTAGACTCAATCCAACTACAATATAAAGGTATTTAGATCCTTTTCAGATGTTATTCACGATTAAGCCATGAGCATATCGTCTGACCTTCCTCTCAGAGTCTTGCAATGTGAGAACATCATCATCTATGACCGGGCCCTTTGGCATTTTCATGATAAACCAGTGGTGGTGAATGAAATATTGCTTTATAATTGCATATGAAAGGCATGAATATCTCTGCATAAAGCAAATATATATATATGTACATAAAGGCAAGAGTAGCAAGTCAAGACCAACATTGTTTATTTGTTACCTTTATCTTATTAAAACGTAACGAAGAATAATGTCAATTCTACAACCCTGAGTTAATCCACAGGATATTATCCATCACCATATTTAAATATCAGGATTAATATTACGGCTTTTCCAGAGTCTCATTCTGCATCACCAGCCAAAGTCCTTGTCATTTGAGATAAAACCAATATTCACATTGAAAAAGGAAAAATATTATAGAAGCACGGGTAGATATATTTTTCTACTTGGGTGCTAAAAGTTTTACATATGATTGAACTAACAGTTCTAGGTCCTAATTAAAGCATTTTCAGATAGAAGTATGTCTATTTCTCAAAATATTGATGCTAAAACACAACATTTATAAGACAACAATTGCATAAAAAAATTATTAATTGAAATTTCAGGTTTGAGAAAATAAAAACGAAAAGACAAAATAAAAAAACTGTGAAAATATGGGAAGAAGTAACCATGTGATAATTAAATCTTTACTTGAGGAAACGTTCTACAGTATCGATTACACAATCAAATAGGAAAATACTAAAGAAAAAAATTACAAAAAAATTGTGTCAAAGGAAAAAGAATCATGTTAGAAAGAAATGTCGCCTACCTCATTTGTATTGGTGCAATTCCTAGTAGAGTTCTATCGAATTGTCAATAAAAGCATCACGTCAATTGTTATTGCCCCGGAAAGAAAAATCATCTCATAAGCTGTTGAAACAAAATTTCAGCTCTTCACTTTCATGTGAGAGATCAAACTCTTAAACATCAATTAAACAATATGATTTATATGATAAATGAGAAGTAAGAAGCAAAATTGACCCAAAAAAGAGAGCTTAAAACAACTTGCACGAAGAAATACCTCATATGTGCTCTCTAAACTAAATTCAAATAGTTGATAGTATTGTCATTAGAAGAAAAGTAAAAGATGATGTATATATTTGAGGAGTAGAAGAAACATGTATCATTGGGAAATGCAAGAGACAACAGTTTCTTTAGAAGACTAATAATGAATACATAGTTGTCTTTTCATTTGCTTTCAGATTTAGATTAATTGAATTTAGTGTAAAAATACACGATACTTAAAAGAGTACAATAACAATTGTAATTGAAGAAAGATATATACGTGGATTATATATTTTGTACAAACATATTATATCATAAAAAGATTGAAATCATTTAATGAAAAGTTCTTTTTTCAAGGACTAAATGGTCACTTAGATTTTAAAGTACATTTTTGTAAATCAACTTTGAAGATAGGATCTTCCTATTTTTTTAGTATAATATGATGGACGTGTTAAAGAAGCTATGTCACTCTTTTATAAGTTGGAAAGGAAGTTTGAAGAAACTGACATTGAACTTTACGGTATTGTCAATAATGGATTGTGCAAAAATGTAAAGTTCGGCGAAGCTCATCTTATTTTTGAGAAGCTTTTTGTAATAGGTTTACATCCGAACGTAGTAATATACACTACAATGATTAATGGATTTTGTCAAGAAGGATTGTTAGATAAAGCTAAAGATATTCTTAGAAAAATGGAGGACAATTTGTTGTTTGCTGGACATTGTAACTTACAACGTTATTATGCAAGTATTTCTCAAAAGTAACAAATACAGTGAAATGAGGGCTTTCTTAAAAGAAATGACAGGGAAGACTTTCTCATTTGATGCAACTACAATAGAGTTACTGATAGATGCTATAGCGGAGGATCCTTCTCTGCTTAGGATCCTTCTCTGCTTGACATGATATAAGAGTTACACCCGGAAAATAAGAAATGAATATCTTTTCCTAGACTTTCACCAAGAAAGTAAGAAGTGAATAAGTGCCCATATATGAATAATAAGTATAGGAATATCATTTGCCATCTATATTACATGGACTCATATTTGGATTAGTATATGATACGGATCGATGTAAATCTTCTGAACATGTATGCCTAGTTTTTTGTTTCTTAGAGTATTTTGTGGAATCCGTACAATATCTTCATTCCTGTCTCAAACCTGTACGACATAAGCACACCAAGATGAACGAAAGATTAATTTAACGTAGTCTTTTACTGGTATCTAGTCATCTTCAAGTATTTTTGCACGCTAACATCTACTATGAGATCACATAATTGATTCTTCTTTTGAGATGAGTCATGAAATTTTCAATAAAAGATGATATAGATTAGATGTATTTACTGTTCTTAATATGTTACCTGTAAAATTGGGTACCACCTGTCACAATAATATGAAACCCATGTTTTATCTTCTTCTTATGGTCCAACTAAGGTTGGTAAACCATCTAAAAATCCTCCTTATTTTTGTCAAGCACTTGCCAAAACATGTGATCTTATCTATGGTGGTCGCTTCCCAACCTATTCTAATTACATTTTAGGTTCGTGCTTTGTGGATTTTGTTATACTAGGGGTCGATATATAAAGCAAAGTTAGGCTTAGAGTATGAGCTCAAACATGTCAAATGAAAGTAATGTCCAACTGCTTAATGAAGCAAAGTTAGGCTTAGGTTGATGTGCTCAAAGCCCCACGTTCCTTCACTCTTTTCCCGTCTGTCCCCTCATCAACTCCACTCGCTAATGGATGGATGCCAGTCATTAGTCACCTCTCTCTCTCTCTCTCTCTCTCTCTCGAAAATGATTCACTGCGTCTCCCTAACAGACAGAAGGGGAATCTAATCTATGCTATCCTTGTTAAGTATCATTTTTATAGCAGACATGTTATGTCATTTAACTTATTAACTGCTGGATCCTTCTTGATATCGAGTTCCTCTGTGAAGCTTTTAGTATTTGATCACTCTTGATGTGTGAGTGATAGAAACTAAAAGTCCACTAAACTATATAGAGAACCTGGTTCTCGATCTCTTCCCACAGAACACAGACACAACATTAAGTAAATGACATAGTAGAATTTTATGTGAAAAATTCCCAGCTCACGGGATTAAAAACCACGACCTACCCTTGTAGGATTTCAACTTCA